TTGTTGAGTTTGAAGTGTTCAGAACTCTACATTCACTTAAGATACAGAATTATTCATCCTAATGTCTGTGAGAAATGACTCCAATTGTTTCACTCCCATGAAATCTATATATACTTCATTTACCTGTATAAGTTGGCTTTTCCATATTTTAAGATCTAGTACAAATGTTACTGTCTTATATGTGGTTTCTTTTATTACATAGTTTGCAAGTTGTTTTCATTTCTCACTATACTTACTAATCTACCTCATTATCTATTGAAGGTGAAGCAATAATGGGAGCAGAGTACCATAACAGCTGTAGACTCATCTTTCAGAGACTCATAGGTCTCAATATAATACAAATATATATGCATCAAATCATTTATGGAAGCATAATTTGTAATAGCAAAAGATTAGACACAAATCAAAAGTTCATCAATAGGGCACTGGTTTAATGAATTTTAATACAGCTATAAAACAGCTATAAAAAAGAAAAATGTATATATTGACATGGCACAGTCTCCACGAAATATCAGGAAGTATTTGAGTAAGTGGTATAGCAGAGTAATTAGCAGTGTGGACTCTGATGTCTGGTCTAGGTTCAAAGACAGGCTCTTCTATTTATTAGCTGTGTAACTCATCTCAAGCCCAGTTCCTCAATTTTTTGGCCTGTGAAATCAGGATACTAGTGATAACTACCACACACGATTCTCTGATGATCAAACGAATTGATAACATGCATAGCACTTAAAAAAGAGTGCCTGGCCCCTAAGAAAATAATTGAACTACAACAATGAGATGTGATACTAAATGATAAATGATACTAAATTATGTAATATAGTTCCAAAAAATGAAAACTTAAATCTCTTTTAATGTATTCACATTAAATATTTTCACCATTATTACTTTGTGTTGTAGTATTAGGCATACTCATGTAGAGGATTGTCTCCTCTATTATTATAATGTCTTTGAGGACAAGGCCTGGCTTTTCCTCAAGTGTGTGTCCTACATGATCTCCAGAATGTACCATGCACAAGGCACGTTCCATAGGCATGTGTTGATGGAATTAATAAAACACTCAGATTCTTCTCTGCCTATGAATATAATTTCAGAGCTTTAATAATCAGAGATTAGTTTTTTTAAGTCTTATTTATTTATTTTGGGGCGGGTAGGGGCAGAGGGAGAGAGAGAGAATCCCAAACAGGTTCCTTGCTGCCAGTGGAGCCCAACACAGGGCTCAATCTCACAAACCATGAGATGACTACCTGAACAGAAATCAAGAGTCAGATGCTTAACTGACTGGGCCATCTAAGCACCCCAATTAGAGAGTAGTTTTATTGTTTTATTTTTTTAATGTTTATTCATTTTTGAAAGAGAGAGAGAGAGAGAGAGAGAGAACCTGAGTGAGGAAAGGGTAGAGAGAGAGAGGGAGACACAGAATCTGAAACAGGCCCCAGGCTCTAAACCTTCGGCACAGAACTTGATGCAGGGCTCAAACCCATGAACCATGAAATCATGACCGGAGCAAAAGTTAGATGACTGAGCCATCCGGATGCGCCTAGAGAGTAGCTTTAGATGTCTAAGAGAGTATATGAATATATGACACTTACAATTTCAACATTTAGGGGCAAATCCAGAGATTTTGTTACAAAAGAAGTTAGGTAGTTTAACTTCTTTTTTTTTAAAGTTTTTATTTATTTATTTATTTCTAGGAGAGAGAGAGACAACGTGAGCAGGGGAGGGTCAGAGAGAGAGGGAGTCACAGACTGAAACAGGCTCCAGGCTCTGAGCTGGCAGTCAGCACAGAGCCCGACGCGGGGCTCAAACCCACGAACCGCGAGATCATGACCTAAGTGAAAGTCGGTCGCTTAACCGAATAAGCCACCCAGGCGCCCCTAGGTAGTTTAACTTCTACCTGGAACAATATTCTGAAACTGTTACTTTCTTTTCCTTATTTAAAAAATGAATTTTAGGGGTCCCTGGGTGGCTCAGTTGGCTAAGCGTCCGACTTCAACTCAGGTCATGATCTCACAGTTCGTGGTTTTGAGCCCCACATTGGGCTTTTGTGCTGACAGCTAGCCCAGAGCCCAGAGCCTGTCTTCAGATTTCTGTGTCTCCCTGTCTCTCTGACCCTCCCCTGCTCACACTGTCTCTATCTCCCTCTCGAAAATAAATAAAACATTTAAAAAAAGAATTTTATCATTATTTTTCAAATTTATTTATTTTGAGAGAGAGAGCATCAGCAGGGGAGGGGCCGAGAGTGAGGGAGACAGGGAATCCCAAGTAGGCTCCACCCTGTATGCCCAGAGCCTGACTTGGGGTTTAAATTTATGAACTGCGAAATCATGATCTGAGCCAAAATCAGCAGTCAGAGGCTCAACTAACTGAGCCCACCCAGGTACCCCAAAAAGAGTTATATTTATATTTATTTATTTATTTACTATTAAATTTTTAAAAAATATTTATTTATTTTCAAGAGACAGAGAGAGCAGCAGCAGAGGCAGAGCAGAGAGAGAGACACACAGAACCCAAAGTAGGCTCCAAGCTCTGAGCTGTCAGCCCAGAGCCCGAAGTAGGGCTCCAACTCATGAACCATGAGATCACAGCGTGAGCAGAAGTCAGATGCTTAACTGACTGAGCCACCCAGGCACCCTCATATCTCTCAGGTTTTTTGTTTGATTTTTTTTTTTTTTTTTTTTTTAGTATTTCTTTATTTTTGAGAGAAAGAGAGATAGTGCAAGTGGGGGAGGGCCAGAGAGAGAAGGAGACAGAGAGTCTGAGCAGGCTCCAGGCTCTGAGCTGTGAGCATAGAGCCTGATATGGAGCTTAAAGCCATGGAACTGCAAGATCATGACCTGAGCCGAAATCAGACACTTAACTGAGTAAGCCATCCAGGGTCCCTAAAACCTGTCAAGTTTAGACCAGACTATGAAGTTTGGAGGATGTTCCCTCCTCTCCACCCAAAGACCAGGTCATAGTCATGGGTGTTTCACAGTAGTGTAGCCTTTACTTTTTAAATTAATTTTAATTTGTTAAATTAAGACTTTATTTATTTACTTTGAGCCTTTTAAGGTTCACAGAAAAATTGAGAGGAAAGTACAGAGATTTGCCATATACCTCCTACCCCCACACATGCACAGTGTTTCCATTATCAACATCCTCACCAAAATAGTACATTTGTTGCAATTGATGACTTACATTGACACTTTATTATCACCTAAAGTCCATAGTTTACATTTGGGTTTACTCTTGGTGTTGTACTTCTTTTCTTTTTTGAGAGAAAAAACTCAGTGTATGGAGTAGAGGAAGGGCAGAGAGAGGGAGACAGAATCCCAGGCAGTGTGGAGCCGGACCTGAGGCTCAGTTTCACCACTGTGAGACCATGACCTGAGGCGAAATCAAGAGTAGTACACTTAACCCACTGAGCCCCCCAGGTGCCCCTTGATGTTGTGTATTCTATGGTCTTGAACAAATGTATAATGACATGTATCCATCATTATGGTATCATACAGGGTATTTTCATTGCCCGAAGAATCCTCTGTGCTCTGCTTATTCATCCGGCTCTCTTCTCCAACTCCTGGCAACTAATGATTTTTTTCATTGTCTCCATAATTTACCTCTTCCAGAATGTACAGTTAGAATCATACAGTAGGTAGCCTTTTCAGATTTGCTTCTCTTACTTAGTAATGTGCGTTTAAGTTCCCTCTAGGTCTTTTCTTGGCTCGATACCTCATTTCCTTTGAAGATCTGAAGAATATTACACTGTCTGGATAGATCACGGTTTACTTATCCATTCACTTACTGAAGGACATTTTGGTTGCTTCCAAGTTTTGGTAGTTATGAATAATGCTTTTATAAACACCATGTGCAGGTTTTGGGGTGGGCATATTTTTAACCCCTGTAAATGTCAAGGGGTGGTATTGCTGGATTATACGATAGAAGTATTTTTAATTTTGTAAGAAACTGACAAAGTCTCTTCCAAATGTTTGTACCACTTTGCATTCCTACACGTAATGAGTGGGAGTTCCTATGTGTCACATTTAGAGTTTTCAAGTCTTCCAGATTTTATTTTAGCAGGTGTGCAATGGTATTTCATGATTTTCTGTGTGGCTTTTTGCGTTGATCCTTGAACAGGCTCTACCCTCCTCCTAGAGGAGCTGGGTCCCAGGTTGTGTTTCACTAGACCCTAACTGTTTCTGGCTTCTGGGTCTCAACTCTAACTCTATTAGAGGGGGAAAGAACAGGGAAAGGGAAGGGAAGGCTCTGAAATCTTCCTGAGCTGGCAGCCTGGGGGAGGTTATGCCTGAAAGAGGCTTTGTCAAGTGCTACTCTGAGGCCAGGCAACATTCAGCGTTAGCTCCCTAGCAAACGTTAGGGTGTGTTGACAGTGGGAAAGAAAGACGTGTCCAGATAATACATTACACCTGGCGCTTGAGGTGGATCTATTTTATTTTAGGTAGGTAGAGGCCAGTAGGAAGAACTCCTTTAGCCCCTGGGAATCGTGGCCCCTGGATTTTCGTTCAATGCTTTCACTGGAATGAACCCTTCCCAGTTGGGTCTCAAAGGCCCAGTCTTTAGGGAAAGGGCTTGCGTGGGACGGATGTGAAAGTAAGGCAACGCTGGCCAGAGGAAGTGGAGCAGAAACCGGCCCACGAAAGGAAAAGCGATCGTCTTAGATTTAGGACACTTGATCAGGTGTGTTAGATGGCATTTCAGAAGAAATCTGAAAGCCACTGGTTTACAACAGTAATCAAGTAAAAGTGTTCCGGCTGGGGAAACCTCCTTTAGGGATCAAATTCGACACAAAGGGTATTTCTCTCCGAAAAACTTTAAAAGCCGGTGACCCCTCTGGTTCCGCCCACCGCCTCCTGGCCGCACCTCCCGGGACGGAGCGGCTCAGCCACCTCAAAAGCCCGGAGAAGGCAAATCCACTCAGGCCTGGGAGAGGGGGGCTCCGGCCTGGCTGCACACTGGGCATGCGCAGGGGGTGGGCCGCCAGGGCGTCCGAGGGAGCCGTGACGAGTCCGGAAGCGCTAGCTAGCGCCCCTCCGCTCGAGAACTAGTTTTGTTCCGCGTCCTCGGGACAGGAGCTCTTCGCGGAGAAGCCCCGGCAGGACCAACCCGACCCCAGCCAGCACCGCAGAAATGTCCAGCAACAGCTTCGCTTACAGCGAGCAGTCCGGAGGAGGGGAGGCGACGGAGCTGGGTCAGGAGGCGACCTCAACCATTTCCCCCTCCGGCGCCTTCGGCCTCTTTAGCAGCGATTTGAAGAAGTGAGGAAGAAGGTTTGGGGTGTGGGGCTGGGAGTGGGGAGCTGGGGACCCCGGAGGATTGGGCCACGGGTTTGGGCTTGGACCCCAAGAAAGGTGGGGTCGCCCCGAGACCGCCCCGGAGCCGGCGGTAACGTTTCTCGCTGGTGGGTGGGGTCGGGTCAGTGGGGAGTGGGGGGAGTTGTGGGGGAGAGTTTGGAGTGAGTGTGTGTTGGGGTCTCTCGTCGTTCACACTTCAGCGAGAAAAGAACCGTTTGGGGAGCTTCAGGTCGCATCCCCAGTGGCTCTGATTAAGTGGGTCTGGTCTGGGGCTCCGGAATCAGATTTCTGAACAAACACTTTTAGCTTATTTAATATTTGCTGGATCAAACTTGGGGGAATTGGGCGCTATGATGAACAAGGTGATAGAGGAGTTGAGAGGACGCGTTAGTTTGTTGCTTATGGGAAACTCTTTTCTGGAGTCTGGAGTGTAGGAGCTTGGAGGTAGATGTTTTAGGCACTTTACTAATGGACAAACTGTTCTGTACGAACATTGAGGTTCTTGGACAACATCCTTTGCACTACAGGGAAAAAAAATCCCGCAATACCAAAGTAATACGCATGTAAGGAGAGAAAAGAATATGACTGTGAACGAATTCTTAAGTTTTACAAATTGATAACATGAATTTTGTTTATTTATTATTTATTTATTTTTTAATTATTTTAATGTTTTTATTTTTGAGAGACAGAGCATGAGCAGGGTAGGTGCAGAGAGAGAGGGAGACACAGAATCCCAAGCGGGCTCCAGGCTCTGAGCTGCCAGCACAGAGCCTAACCTCAGGAACCATGAGATTATGACCTGAGTGAAGTCAGACACTTAACTCAGTGAGCCACCCAGGTGCCCAAATAACGTGATTTTTAAAGGCAAATACTAAACAGTGTACATTTAGTTTTGTAAAGAGAAAAATAAGTACCACCAAAAAATGGAAAGAAAATACCCCCAAACTTTTTGGTGAGAGGGGGTTTAAACTTCTAGAATTCTGGTAACTTTATATTTTATTTTAATCATTTTTAGAGTTCTCTTATTTTATTGTCTCAGTACTAGACTATGGTCACATAATAGGCAATCACTAGATTCATGCTAACTTAAGCTAAAGTAGCTGTGCCGATGGTTTTGTAGATGTCAGAAGAGTATAATTTAAATTTTTTAAATTTTTACTAGCAAGACCGGTCAGTCTGGAAGGTTGCTAGTGGTTGAAATTGGGTTTAAATTTTGATTGTATTAAGCTGACTGAAATCTTAAATACAGCATGTGGAATAGTTTTCTTCACCCTTGTTCTTAGGTAAGATAATTTCTCTTCATTTTTCATTCAGTGCATTTAGAATGATGGATTGTTCTAAAGTGGGCTTGTTGCAGTTGTACACTTCTGTTAGCAAAATGTTCAGATGTTTAATAACCCCGTAAGTCACCCTCAGTCTGTTTTGCATGTGATTTGCTTACAGTTAATTTACTTGTATGGTTTGTTAACATCTAAGATGTTTTTCTCTTAAAGAGTTTCTTCTGACTTCCTATTTTGTCAGATTTGGGCCTGGTTTGGACAACCACGTATGGCTTTGACTATGACCAGTGCTGTTGAGGTGACCAAATGGGTTGGATATAAAATAAAAATAGCTAATGGGCACCTGGGTGGCTCAGTCGGTTAAGTGTCCGACTTGACTCAGGTCATGATCTCATGGTTTGTGGGTTTGAGCCCTACATCAGGCTCTGTGCTGACAGCTTGGAGCATGGAGCCTGCTTCAGGTTCTGTGTCTTCCCCTCTCTCTGACCCTCCCCTGCTGGTACTCTCTTTCTCTCAAAAATAAATAAACATTAAAAAATAAAAATAGCCAATATTTATTGAATGCTTGTGCATTTGTGCACACTACTTTACATTTATTATCTCATTCAGTCTTCCCTAGTACCTCAGTGGCTTGTTATCAGATACTTACCTGTTTTGCAGATGAGGAGATTGGAGCACATGTGTTTAAAACTTGTCCAAGATCACAAAGCTTGAACACCACACTCTGAATTTGAACACAGACTTAATCTCAGAGCCCATTCTCTCAAGTTCTTGGATATATTACTTTTCACTTGATGAAATTTATTGTGCCTTTCTGAGAGAATGCATACAACTTATTAAAAATTTAAAACTTTGAAAAGTAGCTGTAGACCATGTATTACCTTGAAGTTTCCAGGAATTAGAAACATTTTGGTCATTGAACTGCAAACCTAGTGGGATTGTATATGAGCAAGGAGACCCCTGTTCTGGAAATGCTCTTTTAATCTCTCTTGAGCCTACATTCTTTTTTAAAATGGTGGTATTTCTTGACTTTTTTTTTTAACCAAATGACAAAATTTAAGTAAAAAAAACTTAAAGCTTATCCTATTCCTCTGCTTTCATTTTTTTTTAATTGAGGTATTCTTGCATGTAACATGATATATTGGTTTCAAGTGTATAACTTAATGATTCAATATTTGTATATATTCAGAAATGATCACCACAGTAGGTCTAGTTAACATTTGTCACCATACATAGTTACAGTTTTTTTTCTTGTGATGAGGACATTTAAGATTTAATGTCAGCAATTTTTAAATATGCAATACAGTGTTATCGACTGTAGTTCCCAAGCTGTACAGCGCATCCCATGACTGACTTATTTCATACCTGGAAGTTACTCTTTTGACCCTCTCCACCCATTCACCTGCCAACTGTGCTTTAATTTTAGATGATTTACTTTGAAATAGTTTCAGATTTACAAAAAAGTTGCAAGAATGGAACAAGGACCTACCCTTTATGTATATTCACTGCTTAAAAATTTTCTTTGCTACATTGCTTTATTTTTCTCTTTCTCCATATTCATATTATGTTTTTTGATTCATTGAAAAATAGGTGCTAAACATCCTGTCTCTTTACTCTTAATACCTTGGTATGTATTTTTTAAGAACAATAAATTTTTTTTTACACAACCACAGTACCATTCATTATATTTGGGAAATTTAATATCAGTACAGTCTGTAGTCTGTAATTCAGTGTTGTCATTTGTCCCAATAATTTTTTTTAGTTTTTTTTTTTTCCCATCTAGTATAGCATCCAGTACAGGATCATGCACTTCATTTAGTTGTTATATCTCTTTTAATCTCCTTTAAATCTGAAATAGTTCCTTAACCTTTGTTGTTCACTATTTGGGCACCTTTGAAGAATTCAAGCCAGTTATTTTATAGCATGTTAATCACTTTGGATTTGTTGGTGTTTTCTTCATGTTTAGATTCATGTTACATACCTCTGGCTAGAATACTACCATAGTGATGTGACTTTCTCAGACTTGCATCTGGGGGCAGAGTGTAAAATATTTTCCTTTATTTTTTTCTCCAGTGGTCTTTCAGTGGGGGCATGGGGGGGGGTACTTTGAGATGTGCTTATGTCTTGCTCCTTATTAAATTCACCATCTCTTAGATATAGTAACCACTGATGAATCTCCTGAGCCATTCTTAGACTTGCATCTGGGGGCAGAGTGTAAAATATTTTCCTTTATTTTTTTCTCCAGTGGTCTTTCAGTGGGGGCATGGGGGGGGGGTACTTTGAGATGTGCAGATGTCTTGCTCCTTATTAAATTCACCATCTCTTAGATATAGTAACCACTGATGAATCTCCTGAGCCATTCTTTTTTTTTCTTTTAATTTTTAATGTTTATTTTTGAGAGAGAGAACACAAGTGGGGCAGGGGCAGAGAGAGAGGGAGACACAGAATCAAAAGCAGGCTCCAGGCTCTGAGCTATCCGCACAGAGCCCAACATGGGGCTCGAACCCACAACTGTGAGATCATGACCTCAGCCGAAGACTGACAATCAACTGAGCCACCAGGCACCCCTCTCCTGAGCCATTCTTTACCACAGTGGCTGCAAAATGTTGATTTCCTGCTCTCCCACTTACTGTAATCTGCTCTTTGGCCTCTTGTCTTAAAGCTTTGTGTCCTTTGATCCTTCACTAACCACCTCAGGGATGCCTAGTCACTTCCTAGTGACAATTACTGATGATTTTTGTTTTCTGAATTTAATCTTATTTATCAAAAATTTTTTGTGCCTCTGTCCCTTTAAACAAAACCAGGATTAGGGACATTTAGATCATTTTATAAAAGCAGATCCTGTACATCATTTATTGGTTAATCATGACTATAGTAGATTATTGGTTTCAAGATTTCCAGTTTTTTCATTTAAAATGTATTTTTTTGTTTTCTTGTATTTCTTTCTTTTGGGATTGTCAACTTTTATTGTTTTTACTTTTCTTCTAAATTACTTTCCTGCTTTATCTTAAAGAAGTTCATCTTTTATCTTAGCCAGTTTGGCTGTGTGTGTACAGTTAAAAATAATTTTTGGTCACCTGGGTGGCTCAGTAGGTTAAGTGTCTGACTCTTGGTTTTAGCTCAGGTCATGATCTCATGGTTTGTGCATTTGAGCCCTGCATCAGGCTCTGTGCTGACAGTGCAGAGCCTGCTTGGGATTTTCTCTCTCTCTCCCCTCTCTCCCAAAATAAATAAATAAATTAAAAACAAATAATCTTAGTAATTTTATTTCTGGGTTAAACAATATCTAGAAAGAAACAAGAGACAAACTTTTCTTAACAATGGTAAAACTACTAAATTTCTGAATCTCCTCTACTTTGAGAATATCACGGTGTGTTAGAAAGAGCATTGGACCTGGAGTGAGAAGAACTGGGTTTAAGTTCCTGTTTTCCACTTGGAGTAATGTTTCCTTGTTTACTTTGCTTGATCTCTTCATTTTTTTTTAAGTTTATTTATTTTTTGAGAGAGAGAACATGCTCAGGGGAGGGACAGGGAGGGAGAAGGAGAGGGAATCCCAAGCAGGCTCCATACAGTCAGCACAGAGCCCAAAGTGGGGTTCGAACTCATGAACTGTGAGATTGTACGACGTGAGCTGAAATCAAGAGTTCCACACTTAACCCGACTGAGCCACCCAGGTTCTCCTGC